GGTCCTGTAAATTGTTTTCGCTATATATTTTTCCATCTTATTTACATTTATTTAATTTATTAGAGTTCATAACAACAAGTCAGGCCAATCAGGGGTTCATCTTCAGGGTCGTAAAGATCAATGACTTGACACTTATCTACGGTGTATGATGCAGCTTTACAGTCAAATCTTTCATGCTTTGTCTTTTACATGTCGTAAAATATGGAACATTTAGATGAAAGTCAGCAGTGAAAGTGGTGCTCTTCTTCTACTGCCAGTCCTGCTGTGGAGTAGAGTTGTTTTCTCAGTGAAAGCCCCTGCTGTTTGAAAAAAACTACTAGTTTGAGTTTAAAATTATAGTATGAATGGATCATCTTAAATATTTGACATTGTATGAAATTATATCGCATCATATGTGATATGCATCATATTCTACTGTAATACATCTCTCTGTAATTTATCATATGACATTTGACATTATAGAATTCATCATTCTTACAGTACCACAATATCCTGCACTGTATTCCAATGTATCATATCATAGATTATATATTAGAATAGAATTTGACTTTATAATATTACATTCTCCACAGTAGTGCATATTGTCCTATTATACTGTATCATTATTATACAGATCTCCATTTTGCAACCTATTATCCAATTTTTTTCCATGCATTGTATTTGATTGTATTTTGCTAAATGAAAACTTTAAATCGGATGTGGCTGACTGAGCAAAATCTAATGGAATAATTAATACCTTTTGTATATAGTTAAGTCAGAGTTATTATTACCTTGTTTACAGTATAATATATATATTTGAGAAGAGATGGTCCACTCTACATGGGAGAACATCACACACATAATTCTTCTTGAAAACCCTTTAAAACCAAGTGTATAATGTTTGATAGATGAGTTTTTGAGGCCTCTGCATCATCAGTTGGATGATGCAAATAAATAATCTGATTTAACTTATACAAAATGTATATATTTTTTTTTCTTTCATTTGTCAAAGAGTTCAATTTTTTTATTTTTTTTTATTTCATGGTCAAAATACCTAAAAACAATAAATAAATAATGCAGAATGTCTGTTTATTTTTGGCTTAATTTATAAAAAGAAAAAAAAAAGTATAACTAATACTTTTCTTCTCCGAACATATCTGGTAGATATATGCATAAAATAAGAGCAAAGATCAAAACAACAGTTCAAAGCATTTTATAAAAACTTTTTCCTTTTTGAAGAACATCTCTCTGAGCTCATTTTCATATCTTTTTTTTCTCCCCCCCTTTGGTTTCTGCTGTGTTTATATTTAGAAGTGAGAACTGAGGCATGTCCGTGGAGGTAGAAAAACAGGCAGACAACCATCTCAACAGAGCGCAGAACAAAGAAGAACACTGTCAGAACCAAATCTCAGGTATGTACAGTAAATGAGTTTGGAAATTAGCCGTCTTTGTGTCAGTATGTCATCCACTGGGGGATGAAGTGTGTTTGTTTGGCGATCCAACAACTGTCATCTACTCCATGACGGGATTTTAATTAAATAACTCTACAACCATCGTTATTTGCGTCGATTGTTTTTTTTTTTTTTTTTTTAAGAATTTGGGTCGAATAGCTTTATTGAACCATAAACTGAGTTTTGAGGTGATCTTTTTAATAGATATGTATGAAAATGTTGGCGTGCTTGCTGTTACTGTGCAGCTGTGTCACCCCTCATTGCATAAGGCCATCTTGCCCTGATAAGGCCAAATACTATGACTTATGAACAGAGCTCCTGAAGCCAACCATTACTCTAATTCATGGTGAAGACATGTTTTTGTGACTCCTTCTCAGTTTGAATGAATGTTACAACTGCAAGGAAATGGGGGGAAATAGTTTGTAGCAGCATGTATTTAAATTGGGGGGACAGATTTCCCTTTGTCACACAATCGCAAGTGACACCTTGATGTGGAAGTGGGAGGAAACGATTGCCTGTAGAGTTAAACCAGCTGATTTTTCTTCGTTTTTACCTCCGTAAGAGATGCTGCCTCTTTTTTCAACGAATCCACATGAACACTTGGGAGTCCTAGCAACATGAAGAAAACCTGCTTAATTATTCTCTCTGTACGGCTGTCAGAAAAAAAACCATTCGAGTATTAAAAGTAAACAATACGAGATCACAAAGCACGCAAAGACAATGAAGGATGGAACATAACTGCGCTGTCAAAAAAAAAGCAAATTGCGCTTGTGTCAAATAAAACGGGAAGTGACAGTTTTATTTGTTTGAATCGGAGAAAGACAAAAAAAAAAAGAAATCACCTTTAGTCCGACCTGTCACATTTATTTAGTAATTTTCGGATTGCAATCATTTAGCGGTGCAAAAGCCATTTAGCATAATCCATTGCATTGTTTCCATTCACCCGTAAAATAACAAGTGGAGGAAGATAGCAGAAATGGTTTCCAGCCTGCTTTATGTAAGAGCTTTATGGAGCCATCTGTTTATTTCATATATTTAGCACTGTGTAAAGAAAAATTAAACGGCACTATATAGTAATCTGCTGTAATTGCAAAGCCACACTTTTTCATTAGAGTGTAAATAGTTTCATTTTTCATTGTTTTTGCCAATATTCTAATGTATATCTATGTTTAATGTATCTATATTTTTTAAATGCTGTTTTCTTAAATTATGCTGCCACTCTATCAGGTCTTTTAGGTTATTCTAAATGACATATTTAAGAAAATGTTGTCAATTGTATGCCTGTCTTTCTGTGTCTGGCACCGTTGCACAAAATACCTGATACGTGTTCAAACACAACTCAGAGATAAAGGCTTATGTGATGCTGATTTCAGTAACTTAGAGGGTATTTGTCAGTTAACCAAACAAAAGTGGTTAAACGTGCTTCCTGTAAAAAGGTTACAAAAACTTTTTTTTTTTTCTTTTAAGAAAACTTTCATAACTTCTTCAGGAAGGAAAAAATAATAATTATGCAAGTTCATGATTAACAAGATTAGGGAGCACTGAAAATGAGACAATTAGATTTTCAGTAATAGAATAAGCTAAAAAAGCAAGAACTTTTTCACATGCCGTGCGTCTCTCATTAGTTTCAGCTGTTCAGACTGCAGGCATAACTCTGTAATTTAATTTTGCTCCTAGATAAACTGGTCCTCTGCCTTTTTTAGAAACTATAGCTGGAAAAAAAAGCTCAACATAAGGATGAGTTTGACTTATTACGGTTAGAAGCCACATCTATTCCAATTAGTAGTACTAGTTGACTATTTCTCATATTTTGCTGATTATAGGTAGCATTTATTTAAAAAAAAGGGGTTAGGTATGCTCCAAATAAACCTTACAATAGAAAAACTTTGTATGTACTGAGTTAAACATTTTAATCTGTTGATTTATTGATTTCCTTATTGCTATATTTGGTGAAAATGGCTGCATATCAAAGGGTTTTATGAATATAATGAACTCCTTATCTAGAGGCATCATCTATAAAGGTTTTTTCAAGAGCTTTTTGAAGACAATCCATCTGGATGTTCCATCTAAACGCTTTTCTACAAATAAGATGATATACAACACTCTAGACCAGGATTCTGCAACATTTACAACCCATATATCCATTGTTGCCCTGTGTCCAGCTATAGAAAAAAATGTTTGAGCAGTATATGTTTTTTTTGATAAAAAAGGAGGTATGTTGTTAAAAAATAAACATTTTATTTCAGTTTTTAGGTTTAAAAACAAAGATATACGTTTAAAAAATAGCAAAAGAGCATTGGATATGTCTCAACATATGCTTTAAAAATAAAAATAAATTAGAAAAAATGTTTTCCATAACGTCCTCCCTCTGCCTTTGGAAAATTATTACCTTTTTTGTGAACTTTATGTTGTTATTCTATCATTATTTAGAATTTGTGTTAATTAGAATTGCAATGAAAAAGATGTGCTAAATAAAAAGGTGCATGATGAACTTTATTTTTTGTAGTTTTGAATTATTCAGTAGTGTTATTCAATGAAGAGGAACGTATGTGCAGAGTAAACTTAGCTGTAAATGGAGTTTTATGTTCCTCTGAAATTAGTAAAATGGTTAAAAGAATCAATAAAAAAATCAGAGTAAAATATAGCTTAACAACAGTAAAATGTTTACCCTGATTTGATTAGATTGTAACCTTTAAAAAGTTGTGTTTTTTACTCTCTTCAAAGAGAAAACTGTCTGTTTCAGAGTAAAGTTTTGAGTAAATTTTACTAAAACAAATTTCCTGTGCACCTTTAATCTAATCAGTATAC